GTCACGCCTCTGAGCAGTAAACTCTCCTTCCATTCTTAGGTGATCTTCGTGGCGACAAATCTCTGCACGTTCTCCTCGAACAACTCTGAATTCCTCGCGGAGTCGACTCTGACCAGTAAATTCACCTTCTGGCTTGAGGTTGTCTTCCGGCTTCTTTACATCAGCGCGATCGCCGCGGGTTGGTTTGTAATCATCTCTGGATCTCGGTGTTCCAACGAATTCACCTTCTGGGCGCAGGTTGTCCTCTGGTTTCTTCACATCAGCACGATCACCGCGTGTAGGTTGGAAGTCATCGCGAGATCGCGGAGTGCCTTCGAAGTCGCCTTCCGGTCTGAGATTATCTTGCGGTTTCTTAATGGGCGCGCGCTCGCCAGGACCAATGTGCTGAGGTTCAGGGCGGCGTTCAAAGTCACCCTCCATTCGCAGATTGTCAGGATGGCGAACTATCTCGGGGCGTTCTCCTGGGCTGTAACATAGCTTCTCGGGACGTTCAAAGTCACCTTCAGGCCTGAGGTTGTCTTGCGGCTTTTTGACTGCGGCACGCTCTCCAGGACCCACCTTCTGTGGTGTTCGCTTCTCAAATTCTCCTTCAGGGTACAGATTATCTTTTGGTTTCTTGATAGGAGCGCGATCTCCGGGGCCAACAGGTTGCTTCTGAGGCCTATCAAAATCTCCTTCCAGTTTAAGGTTGTCAGGATGCTTAACCGCTTCGGGTCGTTCTCCAGGGGAGTAACCAGGTCTTTCAGGGCGTTCGAAGGCTCCTTCCGGTCTCAGATTATCTTGTGGTTTCTTAACAGGAGCTCTTTCTCCGGGACCGACCTTTTGTGGAGTTCTCTTTTCGAATTCCCCTTCTGGATAGAGATTGTCTTTTGGCTTCTTCACAGGAGCCCTGTCACCGGGACCAACAGGTTGTTTTTGTGGCCTGTCAAAGTCTCCTTCTAGACGAAGATTATCGGGATGTTTCACGATGTCCGCTCGTTCTCCTGGGCTGTAACCTGGTCTCTCAGGACGTTCAAAGTCCCCTTCTGGTCTCAAATTGTCTTGAGGTTTCTTAACTGGAGCACGTTCACCGGGTCCGACCTTTTGCGGTGTTCGCTTTTCGAACTCTCCCTCCGGATACAAATTGTCTTTGGGTTTCTTCACTGGTGCCCTCTCTCCTGGACCAACCGTCTGTTTCTGGGGCCTGTCGAAGTCTCCTTCGAGCCTGAGGTTGTCTGGATGTTTTACTATATCGGGGCGCTCTCCTGGGCTGTAACCTGGGCGTTCCGGACGTTCGAAGTCACCCTCGGGGCGAAGATTGTCTTGTGGTTTCTTGACAGGGGCTCTTTCACCTGGTCCCACACGTTGAGGCTCCGGTCGATCAAAGTCGCCTTCGAGACGGAGGTTGTCGGGGTGACGCACAATATCCGATCTTTCACCTGGGCTGTAGCCGGGCCGCTCAGGGCGCTCGAAGTCTCCCTCAGGTCTCAGGTTGTCTTGTGGTTTCTTTACAGGAGCTCGTTCACCCGGTCCCACTTTCTGAGGTGTTCGTTTTTCAAATTCTCCCTCCGGGTACAAATTATCCTTCGGTTTCTTTATGGGAGCTCTCTCTCCTGGTCCTACTGGATGTTTCTGAGGTCTGTCAAAGTCTCCTTCTAGCTTGAGATTGTCGGGATGTTTCACTGCTTCTGGTCGTTCTCCAGGGCTGTAGCCAGGACGCTCTGGACGTTCAAAATCTCCTTCTGGCCGCAGGTTATCTTGAGGCTTTTTAACTGGAGCGCGTTCACCTGGGCCAACCTTTTGTGGTGTTCTCTTCTCGAATTCTCCCTCTGGGAACAAGTTGTCCTTGGGTTTCTTGACAGGAGCGCGTTCACCTGGACCGAATGTGGGCTTCTCCGGCCGTTCGAAGTCGCCTTCCATTCGGAGGTTGTCTGGATGACGAACAATTTCCGCTCTATCTCCCGGTCCGTAGGTCTGCTTCTCCGGCCGTTCAAATTCTCCTTCTGGCCGCAGGTTATCTTGAGGCTTTTTAACTGGAGCGCGTTCACCAGGAGAGACCTTCTGTGGGGTTCTCTTTTCAAATTCGCCCTCAGGGAAGAGATTATCCTTCGGTTTTTTGACTTCAGCTCTCTCACCACGCGTTGGTTGGAAGTCATCGCGTGATCTTGGAGTACCTGCAAACTCTCCTTCTGGTCGGAGGTTGTCAGTTGGCTTAACTGGAGTCGGTCGTTCTCCTTGTTTGGGTTGAAAGTAATCTCTTGATCGCACACCTTCAAAATCACCTTCTGGCTTCAAGTTGTCTGGATGTCTCTTAACTTCAGGCCTCTCTCCTTTAATGTACAGATAATCGTCTCGTGATCTATTTTCAATGAACTCTCCTTCCATTCGCAAGTTGTCCTCGTATCGCTTGACCTCAACACGTTCTGTGACCATGGCTGCATAGTCGTCGCGAGACCGTCGTACCTCCCATTCACCTTCAATTTTCAGGTTGTCTTCGTGTTTTTTGATGTCGCTTCTCTCACCTCGCACCACCTTATAATCATCACGAGAGCGAGAATCAACAAAATCGCCTTCAATTCGCAGGTTGTCTTCATGCACAACTATATCCGCCCTCTCCCCTCGGAAAATGGAGTAATCATCCCGTGTGCGACGAACATCCATCTCGCCTTCCATCCTAAGGTTGTCCGTTCTCTTTTGCACAACGTAGCGTTCTCCTTTGACAACAGTGAAGTCATTTCGCTGCTCGTGGTCTATAAATTCTCCTTCCATTTTGAGATTGTCGGGATGTCTCTTGACAACAGGTCGTTCTGCTCGTACAGGGGTGAAGTCGTCTCTTGACCTAGGCGTTCCTTCAAATTCACCTTCAGGTCGTAGATTATCTTGCGGTTTCTTTACATCTGCTCTCTCACCACGCATTGGCTTGTAGTCATCGCGAGATCGAGGAGTTCCAACGAAATCACCCTCAGGACGTAAGTTATCTTCCGGTTTCTTGACAGGCGCACGTTCACCCGGGCCGACCTTTTGCTTTTCGGGTCGTTCGAAGTCCCCTTCAAGTCGGAGGTTGTCGGGATGACGAATCATTTCCGGGCGCTCTCCGGGGCCGTACGGTTGTCGTTCGGGTCTCTCGAATTCGCCCTCTGGACGAAGGTTGTCTTCAGGCCGTTTCACCTCCGCGCGGTCTCCGCGTGTAGGTTTGTAGTCATCTCTAGACCGAGGGGTGCCAGCAAAATCACCCTCCGGTCTCAGGTTGTCTTGTGGCTTTTTCACAGGCGCGCGTTCTCCGGGGCCGATGTGCTGAGGTTCAGGGCGACGGTCGAAGTCACCTTCCATTCGTAGATTGTCCGGATGACGGACAATATCAGGGCGTTCACCCGGACTGTAACCAGGTTTTTCGGGACGTTCGAAATCGCCCTCGGGTCTTAGGTTGTCTTGAGGCTTCTTAACCGGCGCGCGTTCCCCAGGCCCCACTTTCTGAGGCGTACGCTTCTCGAATTCGCCTTCGGGGAAGAGATTGTCCTTGGGTTTCTTCACTGGAGCCCTTTCACCCGGACCAACAGGTTGCTTATGCGGTCTCTCGAAATCGCCTTCCATTTTAAGGTTATCCGGATGTTTGATAATTTCGGGACGTTCGCCAGGAGAGTAGCCGGGTCTTTCAGGGCGCTCAAAGTCTCCCTCAGGTCTCAAATTGTCTTGCGGTTTCTTCACAGGCGCGCGCTCACCTGGCCCCACCTTTTGGGGCGTCCTCTTCTCAAATTCTCCTTCAGGGTACAGATTGTCCTTGGGTTTCTTCACTGAAGCTCTCTCTCCTGGACCAACTGGTTGTTTCTGTGGTCTGTCGAAGTCTCCTTCTAGTTTCAGATTGTCTGGATGACGAACCATGTCAGGTCGCTCACCTGGACTATAGCCTGGTCTTTCAGGTCGTTCGAAGTCACCTTCTGGTCTAAGGTTGTCTTGCGGCTTTTTGACTGGAGCGCGCTCGCCAGGACGGACTTCTTGCGGTACCCTCTTTTCAAATTCACCTTCTGGATACAGGTTGTCTTTAGGTTTCTTTACAGGGGCGCGATCACCAGGACCGACGGGTTGTTTCTCTGGTCGATCGAAATCTCCTTCCAATCTAAGATTATCTGGATGCTTCACGATGTCGGGTCGTTGTCCAGGACTGTATTCCGGTCGTTCTGGTCTCTCGAAGTCACCTTCAGGCCTGAGGTTGTCTTGTGGCTTCTTGATAGGGGCGCGTTCGCCAGGACCCACCTTCTGTGGCGTCCTCTTCTCAAATTCACCCTCAGGGTACAAATTGTCTTTTGGTTTCTTGACAGGAGCGCGATCACCAGGCCCAACAGTCTGCTTTTCTGGCCTCTGGAAATCTCCCTCTAATTTTAGATTATCTGGGTGTCTGACAGCATCGGGACGTTTGCCGGGACTGTAGCCTGGGCGTTCAGGACGATCGAAATCACCTTCAGGTCTGAGATTGTCTTGAGGCTTCTTGACAGGAGCTCTCTCTCCAAGTCGTACTTCTTGTGGGATTCTCTTCTCGAATTCTCCTTCAGGGAAGAGGTTGTCCTTGGGCTTCTTGACGGGCGCGCGGTCCCCGGGGCCGATGGGCTGCTTCTCAGGTCTCTCAAAATCACCCTCAAGTCTCAGATTATCAGGATGTTTGACCATATCGGGACGGTGACCAGGACTGTAACCGGGGCGTTCAGGTCGTTCAAAGTCTCCTTCTGGCCTAAGATTGTCCTGTGGCTTTTTAACAGGCGCTCGTTCTCCGGGGCGTACTTCTTGCGGAGTACGCTTCTCGAACTCTCCCTCTGGAAACAGATTGTCTTTCGGTTTCTTCACATCAGCCCTCTCTCCGCGGGTAGGTTGGAAGTCATCTCTTGATCGGGGAGTTCCTTCGAAATGTCCTTCGGGCTTGAGATTATCCTGGGGTTTCTTCATTGGAGCACGTTCACCAGGGCCGATAGGCTGCTGTTCTGGGCGTCTCTCGAAGTCGCCTTCCATTCGCAAGTTGTCTGGGTGACGGACTACTTGCGGCCTTTCACCTGGACTGTAACCGGGGCGTTCGGGTCGATCAAACTCGCCTTCAGGATGAAGATTATCTTGAGGCTTCTTAACCGGAGCACGTTCGCCTGGCAACACTTTCTGCGGAGTTCGTTTCTCGAATTCTCCTTCTGGGTAGAGGTTGTCCTTGGGCTTCTTAACATCGGCTCGTTCACCGCGCGTTGGTTGGAAGTCATCACGTGATCTGGGCGTGCCTTCGAATTGACCCTCCGGCCGGAGGTTGTCCTGGGGTTTCTTGACGTCGGCGCGATCTCCTCTTGTCGGTTTGTAGTCGTCTCTGGACCTTGGAGTGCCTTCAAAGGGACCTTCGGGTCGAAGATTATCCTCGGGGCGTTTGACATCTGCGCGATCACCTCGTGTCGGTTTGTAGTCATCCCTGGAGCGTGGTGTTCCCTCAAAATCACCTTCCGGCCGCAAGTTGTCTTGAGGCTTTTTGACTGGAGCGCGCTCGCCTGGGCCAACTCTCTGCTTCTCCGGGCGATCGAAATCTCCTTCTAGACGCAAATTATCTGGGTGTCGCACAATATCAGCTCTGTCCCCTGGACCATATGGCTGCTTCTCCGGCCTCTCGAACTCTCCTTCTGGTCTGAGATTGTCTTTCGGTTTTTTAACAGGTGCTCTATCGCCCGGACCCACTTTAGGCTTCTCAGGTCGTTCGAAATCTCCTTCAAGTTTAAGGTTGTCTGGGTGGCGAATGCTCTCCGGTCTCTCTCCGGGTCCGTATCGTTGAGGCACAGGTCTCTCGAATTCGCCTTCGGGTCGGAGATTGTCTTTTGGCCTCTTAACATCCGCTCGCTCTCCGCGAGTCGGCTGGAAGTCGTCACGTGACCTCGGTGTGCCTTCGAACTCACCCTCGGGGCGTAGATTGTCTTTAGGTTTCTTGACGTCGGCGCGGTCTCCGCGAGTTGGTTTGTAATCGTCTCGAGACCTAGGAGTACCTTCGAATGGTCCTTCCGGGCGAAGGTTGTCTTCCGGACGCTTAACGTCAGCTCGATCTCCTCGAGTCGGTTTGAAGTCGTCTCGAGATCGTGGGGTTCCTTCGAAGTCTCCTTCTGGCCTGAGGTTGTCTTGTGGCTTCTTCACTGGAGCACGCTCTCCGGGTCCTACCTTCTGAGGTTCCGGTCGCTCGAAGTCTCCTTCCAAACGCAGGTTGTCTGGGTGTCTTACGATGTCTGGTCGCTCGCCTGGCCTGTAATCGGGGCGCTCAGGGCGATCAAAATCTCCTTCTGGTCTTAGATTATCTTTGGGCTTTTTCACTGGTGCCCGTTCGCCAGGTCCTACCTTCTGCGGTGTACGTTTCTCGAATTCGCCTTCTGGATACAAGTTATCTTTCGGCTTTCTAACATCTGCCCGTTCTCCTTTAACAGGTTTGAAATCGTCCCTGGAACGAGGAGAGCCTTCGAAGTGACCCTCAGGGAAGAGATTATCAACAGGTTTCTTGACATCTGCACGGTCGCCGATAGTTGGCTGGAAGTCGTCCCGTGATCGTGGTTTGCCTTCAAACACTCCTTCAGGTTTGAGATTGTCTTCTGGTCTCCTAACATCGGCTCTATCTCCACGGGTTGGTCGATAGTCGTCCCGTGATCTTGGCGTACCTTCAAAATCGCCTTCAGGCCTCAGATTATCTTGTGGTTTCTTCACTGGGGCTCTCTCGCCAGGGCCCACACGCGGCTTCTCAGGTCTATCAAAGTCTCCTTCCAGCCTGAGGTTATCCGGATGTTTAATTATGTCTGCTCTGTCTCCAGGACCATACGGTTGTTTCTCTGGTCTTTCAAAGTCTCCTTCCGGCCGTAAGTTGTCTTTCGGCTTCTTAACTGGAGCACGGTCCCCTGGACCCACCTTCTGGGGTTGCGGTCGCTCGAAGTTTCCTTCTAATCGCAAATTATCTGGATGCTTGACTATCTCCGCTCGTTCTCCTGGATAATATTCGGCTTGAATTGGTTTCTCAAAGTCTCCTTCGGGGAAAAGGTTATCCTTCGGTTTCTTTACTGGCGCCCTCTCCCCTGGCCCCACTTTTGTGGGCGTGGGTCTCTCGAAGTCACCTTCGAGCTTCAAGTTGTCCGGATGTTTCACCGCGTCGGGCCTCTGCCCAGGAGAGTACTTTTGGCGTTCTGGCCGCTCGAAGTCTCCTTCGGGTCGAAGGTTGTCTGCCGGCTTCTTCACGTCAGCTCTCTCACCAGGTGAATACTTCGTAGGCTGACGTTTCTCGAATTCTCCTTCCGGTTTGAGGTTGTCTTTAGGTTTCTTCACCGGCGCCCTGTCACCCTTCGAAGGCTTGAAATCGTCCTTTGGGCGTCCTTCGAAGTTGCCCTCCGGCCTGAGGTTGTCCTTGGGCTTCTTGACGTCCGCCCTTTCGCCGCGCGTGGGCTTGAAGTCGTCCTTGGACCTCGGCGTGCCTTGGAAGTCGCCCTCCGGCTTGAGGTTGTCCTGGGGCTTCTTGACAGGCGCTCGTTCGCCTACGGTCGGTTGGTAGTCGTCTCTGGAGCGCGGGGTGCCTTCGAACGGGCCCTCGATGCGCAGGTTGTCTTCGTACCTCTTCTGCAGCGTCCGAACGTCCTCCTCCGTGACGCGGTACTGCTTGAACTCTTCCGAGCTGGTGGTCTCGAAGAAGCGCTCGCCGTCCAGTTTGGTCCAGGTGCGTCGCCGCACGGGCGTCTCGCGGACGCCCAGCTTCTCCGTGTAGTCCTGCTGCGAGGACACCTCGAAGTTCATGACGCCTTCGGTGGTGAGATTGTCCTGATGGCGCTTGATCTCCGTGCGGGAGGTGACCTGGTGCGCGCGGAAGTCTTCTTTGGAGCTGGAGGCCCCGTGGAACTCGCCCTTGACGGTGGTGAGGTTGTCGACGGCCTTATAGGGCTTCTCCGGGCGCACGGCCCAGCGCTCGGGGAAGTCGTCGCGGTTGGGGCGCGCGTCCACGAAGTCGCCCTCGGGCCGCAGGTTGTCCGGGTGGCGCTTGATGGCAGGCCGCTCGGGCGTCGTCAGCGGCTTGAAGTCCTCTTTCGCGCGGGAGGTCCCCTGCAACGAGGCAACGGCGTCAGAACGCAACACTCAAGGGGCGTCATAGTTTCGTAGACGAGAGAGGTGACTGATATATGTAGGTGGTGGATATAAGGCATTTTCTTGGTGTAGGGTTTGATGTATTAGTTAAAGTGAATAATAATAATAATAATAGTTTACAAGAAAAACAGTTTTAAAATGTGGATTAAAAGTAACGTACCTTTTAAGAAAGTATAACGAGATGATGTATTAAAGCTATTAAGTAATAAAAATTAGTTATGCATTATTTCAATAAATGAAAAAAACAATTTTTAAACAAGTCGATTTTTTAAACGTGAAAAAATGGCCTTAACCTGTTTCATTCGTGAAACAATTTAAGACGAATCACTTTCCAATAAAATAATTATACAAAACAGTGGTGAAAAAATTTTGAATACAAACCGTAGATAATAAATATATATTAATAATGAAAAATTGTAAGTATTGCAGCTTGTCAATAGTAATGAATTATTGCTTTGTAGGAGAATTGGGATATATTTTTCAATTCATTTGCTTTTGAGAATTTATTCCACAGAGTGGGCTGCTTAATTATAAAAGTTATAGTCTCAATAAATGAATTCCCATGCCAAATCTAACGCTTAAAATAAATTTGGAAAAAACGAGACATGAGATGACAGAACAGATGTGATTTCCAAAAAAATCAAGATTTAGTACTTTGTGTAGACTATAGGCCCTAGAGAGACTAAGAGTCACCTGAAATAAATGTGCGCAATAGTATGCATATAGAAGTGTAAGTAGTTTGACGAACATTTACTTCCCGAACGTACTTCTTTATTATTACGCTAACATTAAACGCACACCCTCACCATGACTGATTTAACATATCGTTTCACTGGGAACAGAACATCTCGATATGCCCCTCGCCAATTTGTCTGAATTTTGGATGTATTGTAAAAGATGGAATACGTCTTTTTTCATAGAAACGTTATAAAGGGTGAAATAACTCTCTAAAAGAGGGGGTGTAAAATGGTAATTTTACTGTTTTGGAAATTTTTTTTTAAACTGAAGCAATTACAAAATGTATTCTATTTGCAAATATTAGATGTCCACTTTAGTGCAAGTTCTACTCATCAGAAGCAATATTCTTGCAAATATAAAAGCAGATTACAAAAATTCTACCAAAGATAAGAGAGAGAAACTACTTCAGAATAATATTCAAGACTAATCTTTAAAACCAATTCGTGTGTTTTCACATTCTTTTCGCGGATAACTGATAATAAAGTTACACAGCTATTTCCCGGAAGAAAAATTATTGAGGCAATCATTCCTATTGCAAATTTGTACTACTTTTATATGAAAATGTGCACAAATTATATCTTAAGAGACGGTTCTTTTCGAATCGCCCTGCCACTCAGCCCCTGTGTCTGGATTGTGAGGGGCGGCCGCGCAATTACATGAATTGTACCCAATGTGCAATTAACGGCGATTTTTTAAAGATGGATTTGGCGCTGAGTGCGCCTTCGAATATTGATTCTTTGATAGTGGTTCCTAATAGTTACGTTTATTAGTCCCGTAAGTGTAGTGCATGTTTTTAATCGTGGTGGGAGGTGGCGGTGATCTTTCTCCGCTTGAAGGTGAGGTTCGGCGTCGACCTCCGTGTAGGCTAGTGGGGCTTCCCCAACCAGGTATCTCCCGCGATCGGGACACCGCCCCAGCCGTACACAATCCAGACTGGTTTCCCGGCGTGGATGGTAGTGTAGTGCATATAAGTCTTAAGTCTGTATAAGTAAGGAGCTATCATACAAAACGGAAGAGGAAGGAAAGGTCGCGCGTGGTCCGTGGCCCTTTTATTAGAACACTGCTCCGGCAGTAGCCTGCAGTTGATCGGAGAAACCAGGGAAAAATCGCGATGAGAGCGGCCGGCCGCTTCAATTGTCCTCCAGTCGGGACTCCCGGCCAGAGGCACTGCAGCGACACCAGTTGACCTCACCTGGAATTCTCCTCCTCCCACGGTGAGGTTGTCGCTGCGTCGCCGCACCGTCTCCGTGCGCTCCACCACGTGGTGGTCGCGGAACTCGCTGCGGCTGGTGGTCTCGGAGACGAAGTCGCCGTCCAGCTTGGTCCACGTGTTGCGCCGGATGAGCGGCGGCCGCTCCGCGCGCTCGCCCGTGAACACCGACTGCGCCGTCGTCTCCGCTGCAAGCGCGCGCCCGATTTCTCATTCGCTTGTTTAGCGCCAAACACACATACCAAGTGGACTCTGGGGGAATGAGTATTCTGTGCACCTCGTCTTAAATTCTGGGAACTCTACCCTAACCCCAAAACAAGTTGAATTGTGAATACAGGTGGGGAAGAACATCTATTAATTTCATATCAAATTCTGCATGCGATAATGTAATGGAGCTTCTGCCCGTGGGACATTTTCAACGTACGTTAGAGTTACAGTAATTAGAAAATACAAATCAGTCAACTCGTGTCTATTCTGCCGCTTGACCATCATTTTATTTTTCTACTCCCATTGTGTAATTAAGTCATGTGATGGCCGCAATCCGTTGCATAATGATACTTATTATGATACAGATTTCATTATGATACAGGCTCTTGACCAATCACAGACAAGTTTACAAACCAAGTATTGACACGAGTTGAATGAATCATTGAGAATTGTTCTGGTAAATGTTTCGTTCAATTGTTTACATTAAAATTGCGTTTAATATTGATTATGTTAGTTCGTTTTAATTTATTTTATTAGTAGTAATTTCTTTGCGGAATATACTCGAAACGATTCAATGTAAAATTTAAACTTATGAAAGTTACTATAAGTCGTATAAAAAGTACCGTATAAAACTCGATGTAATGGTATTAATACACTCGTGTGAGTTGCTCTTTCCTCGCACGTATCGTCATATCACCCTCGTGTATTAATATTCATCATTAGATACATCATCTTTCATAATGTACTATTTCCACACGACTAGCAAACTTTTGAAACATAATCCATTTCAATGCTCAAATTATAATTCTGTATCTCCACTAATCTTTAAAATAGCAAGTACGTGTACTCATGATATTGTTACCTCCGTTGGAACACTTACTTTTAGAAAAAAAATTACAAGAAAATTAGGTTCAAACATTACTAACATTAAATCTCTGCTAGAAACAAAATATTTCGAACAGGTAAAGTGTAAGTAGTCTTCATTTCATTTTTCTAAAATTTACATTTCGAAACGGGGATTTCATATCAGAAAATGTTCATATGGGAAAAAATGAAGAAAAACATCGTAGAAACGCTGAATGTGCAATGCCACTCACCGATGAACTCGCCCTCCTGCTTGAGATGGTCCTCATGGCGTCGCACCTCCGCCCGCTCGCCGCGCACCACCGTGAACTCTTGCTTCTGCACGCTCTGCCCCATGAACTCCCCTTCCATGCGCAGGTGGTCCTCGTGGCGCACCACCTCCGCCCGCTCGCCGCGCACCACCGTGTACTCGTCTTTGCGCTGGCCGATGAAGTCGCCCTCGGGCTTCAGGTTGTCCTCTGGTTTCCGCACGGGCGCGCGCTCGCCGCGCGTCGGCTTGAAGTCGTCTTTGGAGCGAGGGCTGCCCTCGAAGTCGCCCTCGGGCTTCAGGTTGTCTTTCGGCTTCTTCACTTCCGCTCGTTCTCCGGGGCCGACCTTGGTTGGCTCCGGCCGCTCGAATCCGCCCTCGAGTTTGAGGTTGTCGGGGTGTTTGACGATCGGCGCTCGCTCTCCCGGAGAGTATTCGTTCGGTTTCGGTCGATCGAAATCTCCTTCCGGTCGCAGATTGTCTTTCGGTTTCTTCACCGGGGCTCTGTCACCGGGACCCACCTTCTGAGGCTCAGGTCTGTCGAAGCCTCCTTCGAGTTTCAGGTTGTCAGGATGTTTTACGATGCCCGGTCTCTCTCCGGGAGAATATTCGTTGGGTCTCGGTCGTTCGAATTCTCCTTCGGGTCTCAAGTTGTCTTGAGGCTTCTTAATCGGCGCTCGGTCACCGGGACCGACTTTGGTGGGCTCAGGCCTTTCGAAGCCGCCTTCCAACTTCAAGTTATCTGGGTGCTTCACGATCCCGGGTCGTTCCCCTGGCCTATACTCGTTCTGCTTCGGTCGTTCGAAGTCTCCTTCCGGTCGTAAGTTGTCTTGCGGCTTTTTCACAGGCGCTCTATCACCAGGTCCCACCCTTTGAGGTTCCGGTCTATCGAATCCTCCCTCGAGTTTCAAGTTGTCGGGGTGCTTCACGATCCCAGGCCTCTCTCCTGGCGAGTACTCGTTAGGTTTGGGCCGCTCGAAATCGCCCTCGGGCCTCAAGTTGTCCTGGGGCTTCTTAATGGGAGCTCGCTCACCGGGCCCGACCTTGCTCTGCTCGGGCCGCTCGAATCCGCCTTCGAGCTTGAGGTTGTCGGGGTGCTTGACGATCCCAGGCCGCTCCCCCGGCGAGTACTTGTCCTTCTCGGGCCGGTCGAACTCTCCTTCCGGCTTGAGGTTGTCCCTGGGCTTCTTGACGTCCGCGCGCTCGCCGCGCGTCGGCTGGAAGTCCTCGCGGGACCTGGGGCTGGCCTCGAAGTGCCCCTCAGGCCGGAGGTTGTCGACGGGCTTCTTGATGGGGGCGCGGTCGCCGGTGGTGACAACGAACTCCTCCCGCCGCTTGCCCTCGAAGTCTCCCTCCAGGCGGAGGTGGTCCTCGTGGCGCACCACCTCCGCGCGCTCGCCGCGCGTCGCCGTGAACTCGTCGCGCCGCTGCGGGCTGAACTCGCCCTCCAGCTTGAGGTGGTCCTCGTGGCGCACCACCGGCGCGCGCTCGCCCACCACCGGCTTGTAGTCATCGCGCAGGTGCGGCGACCCGTAGAACTGGCCGCCGGGGTGCAGGTGGTCCTCGTAGTGGTATCTGGAAAAGCAACACGCAGTGGACGTTACTAACAGTTTTTTCACTTTAAATACGGAAAGGAGTGGTTAGTCAAGATTCAATTTTTTTCCGAGGCCGTAGATTGAGGCAAAAATAATCTGTCTACATCCCATTTCGTTCACGGAATAAAAACATTTTTTTACAGCTACAAAAACATACTTGAAAAATGTTTGTAATTTTAAATTGGAATATTGTGTTTGATATATTAGCGAACAGCAGAATATTATATTGGGCTATAAATGCACAAGTGTTACTAAGAAATACGTCTGTTTACTTCGATGTATTTCCATGCGTGAAATATTTTTTTTTCGATACAAAACAGTTGTCTTGGAAAAAAATCTTTTTAATGGATATTAAAAATAACCTTCATATGTGCGGATAGCAATGCGCATAATCCGCCATTCAGTTGTAGAAAAAACAGTTTTCAAAGATTCAAAAAAATCCTTAAATCATTTAATTTATATTTTGCATTTGCTGAAAGACTGACGATGCATATTAAAAGTTTTCTTTGCATACTTTATATCTGTAAGCGTGTTGCCAATCCGATTTCTAATTTTGCAAGAGATTTTTGAAAGAAGCATGTGGGAGAGCCTTTTCAACCCCCGCATACGGGGATGAAGTACGGTATTACTGAACAAAATCCTGAAGGCAACGTGTACTTTCGTACTAATACCTCAAAGTAAATACGATGTATATACTTGTATGTGTCCATGAGAACATGTGTAGCTGCTTTTACGACAGAAATGTTAATATAATTTATTTTACGGAAGCACAAAAAATTGTCATTCATCTGTTTACAGGCACATTATAATCGTTATGCAATTCTCTCGCTCCTACTACTTTAATTACTTACTCCTACTACTTTCCACGCTTCAATTACCATATATCACTTACTTATTCATGAAATTGTATACAAAAAATTAGATGTACGCTTTTTACTAAAACGTACACGCCATACTGTTACTAACATTCGTTAGTAATATCACTCATTAGTATTATCCGATTATTAAATTATTAGCATTTTCAATGAGGTCTGAAGGTTGGTTTGGATTTTTTTAAAAAAGCATTTTGAAAACTTTGGATTTCTTTGAGTAGAAAAGTTCAGACACCCTTTCACATTGAGAAGAGTTTACCTAGTTGTGACATTTTATAAAATCTTATTAGTATATTAACTAATAATGCGATTAGCGATTCTCTCAACTACTGCAAGATATAAGTATAGAAGGTTGTAGGATTTGCTAAGGAGAAAGGGAGGTGCAAATGAATGGGTGATGTCAGACAGTTCTTTGCGCAGAGGCACTTTCTAACCCATTACGGTGTGAAAGGTACTGCAAACCCATTAGCTCCATGTCACGAAAACATTACATTTATGGAAAGGTTGAAAAACCCTCTGAAAGATCTTGCATTTCCGTATTCACATTAAACATGAAATTCCACTTACATTATCTTTATGACTAAAAATAATGCATCACAAAAATATCGAATAGATCTGGGTATATTTTTCCACATATAAATAACGAGCAAATACGCAAGGAAAGATATTTTATTATTATTATTATTATTATTATTTCTCCCCTTTATAATAGGCATGGAAAAAGTTCGTAAATGTTTGATGACATTTAAGTATAAATAATATTAGAATGTAAATTATTGTAAAAACAATTGACATATGTTTACAAACCTACAATAATTATCAAAATTAATTATCATAAAATTTGGAATAACGTGCAACCCAGAAAGTGGTGTTTTAAGCTGGAACGAAAGTTCGTTTTCATTGCAAGCATTTGACAGGTGCTGGCGCCAATTTTACGTGCCTTCCAAGTATATCTAATTACCATGTACTTATAAGATGCAGTGCATATCAAAAATTCATCAATCTTTCATAGAGCCTCAGATAAAACTTTCGGATTATATGTTCTATCATTTCTGAATGATACGTAGTAATAAACGCTTTCGGATCGAATCGATCGTTTACTTTACTTAATCGAGTCAACACAATAAGAAGTGGGAAGTCAAGGAGTTCAACCGACAGATAGGGCTTCAGAACTGAAAACATTATTGTAAAATGATTACATTGAGGATATCCAATACCTATTATATTTCAATTTACATTACGTAATACAAAATTATAACTCCAATTGCTATATCACACCTCCTAATATTATATCCTCAAGGTCGTGTCTTCCATTTCAATCTCCATTACCTAACACCAAGTTACATTTGCCACAGAATGCGCCAAGGGCACGCAGGGGACGCCGAGGGACGCTTGTAAGCGCAGTGGCGTTGAGCGAGTGGCGCCTCACCTGTGCGGCCGCTGCAGCTGGTCGGGCGCGTAGGCGGGGAAGGCCTCGTGCAGGTGCGAGGTGGCGCCTGTCAGGTCAGCGTCCGGCTGCAGGTCGAAGGGCGGGCCCTCGGACGCCTGGCGGTGCGGGCAGCGGTGGCGCCTGCAACGCCAACCAAAGCCCCGTCACTCAACGTGCAATCGCACATTTGTATTCGTTGTTACGGATATTGTATTTGGAAGTGAATCGATGTGCAAAGGATAGAACCGTTCTTAAGAGAGTCAACGCTGCTGAAAATGCTTGTTTAACAAATGAGACATGACGAGTAGTGCACTACAAGTAAAACGCATAAACAATGTTGAAAACTACGCGATCGAGCTACTCGAAATAAACAAATATGTGAGCGTCACCTGCCACAGGATATTTGGCTATTTATAAGCTCACGAAATTTTAGAGGATTTTAAAATAAATATAAATATAAAAGTAGTCAAGTTACTTTTACATTTATGCAATAATAATTATTTTCGTCGATAGCACAATTTTAATATTATATCATAACATTTATAAAAGTTGCGGCTCAATTTGATATCTGTAAATAACATAGAAAAAAATAAACATTTCAGAGGTTCTGATAATTTTTTACATGAAGCAATGCACCAGTGAAGTGAAAATAAATTGTCAATCTGTAGGACGATATGATATAAAATAAGAGAATATGCGAAACTTAGCATGTGGTGATCGATGAGAAGAAAATAAATGATACAATGAAAATAAATGACTTCGCCAATCGAGAAGCGACTTTGTTTAATCGGCTGGGTAAAATAAATAACAGCAAAGCACTGTCTACATCATAATGTTTATTACATAATGTGAGGAGTGAGTTACAATGATTTTTATACCTGCTGCATTATTTAATAAGTGGTCATAATGGAGTATCAGTCTCGGTCTAAAAGTGCAAAATGCGCGAACATGGACACCGCGAATTCCATCATGTGAAATGAACATTTGATGAACCTAAAAATACACATCGATCAGGGCGATGCGTGAGTAGAGAGGCCAGTGACTCGACGATAGTTCGTTGACTTTTAGAAGGCACGCTGGAAAGTCATGCATTGAAAAGACAAGCATTACAATAATGACATTGATTTTATTACCCCTCTTCGAAGGATGTATTCTAGGATTTAGTTACTTTATAGAATTTTCGTTTTACTTGAACTGGAACAATTTGTTTTCTTTATAATGTTTATCACGGCACTTTGTTTGAAACTTTAAACAGTGAGTAATTTATAGAAAAAATTAAGGAAGTTTTGAAGCCATACTACGTGCTTACTCACTAAAGATGTCCACTTTCGTTCAGTAGAATCATTTACTTAACGATCTATAATATCTCTAAAGTTATATGTTTTATTAATATCTTGTACGACATTTATTTTGTTTAAAAAACTAATCCAATCAAAGATATTAAGTTTCTTTATTTTCCTTAATTCCACCCTGAAAATTAAGCTCTGCTCGTAAGTGGTGTTCAATATCCGCTACTTTTCTTTCGATTTTCGTAGTTGCTCATGAGAATTATTCAAGAAAACACATCTGCCTATCGTATCATTTCTGAAATACTCTCGGGGTTTAGTTTCTTCCGTACCCCTTCACCAAAATCCGATATCAGTAATCTTAGTCCATGTACAACGAGACTTTTTCATATTGTTAAAGAACAAACAAATACGTAAACGACGACTGGATTCGAAATAGCAACTATGAATTTTTGAGATCGGGGAGTATTCTTCGTTCACTCAAAGAATTTAATATTTTTGTCGTAATAAATTCCAAACAGCAAAACAAATATGAAAGGGTAGTATTCCTGAGAAATGACAAATACGCATTCTCAAGAAGAAGCAATAAATCAATTCCTACACAAATGTATCTGCTCTCGTACCGCATGAAAAATATTCGAGTAGGCTTAGGGTGCCGCGAAACGTCGATGTATCATCTCTGCCAGTTGTCTCCCCCAAGATGAAGGGTTCGGCGGTCGTTTGTTGGCGGGGTGAGCCTTGGCGGAAATCCAAGGCGCGGGCTGGAGCGATTAGAGGGCCGCGTGCCTCCACGCCCCCCACCCCTCCACAAACGTCGCCCCTGCCCGAGCCGTAGCCTCTGATTCCACTCACTCCAATCCGCCTCCTCTTCACCGCATTCACCCTCGCCTCCTACCCGATACAGTCCGATCCTCGTTCCACCCCAGCCGTCGTTTTATACTCTTTCCCCACTCCGACAACCTCCGCCCATCTCTGTTCTCCTTTGAGGCCACACCCCCACCTCATCCGCGCCTCCGCCCCGCTCTCGACCAACCTCGTCCTCCGCCCCATACTGGCTCTTCCCTAGCTTGCCTTAGCCTCCCCTTCGGCCCGCCCCATTTCACCCTCCACCGAACCCTTGCCTTCGCCCTCGCCACCAGGCTCCGCTCCGTTGCGCCTTCCGTCCCCCCCTTTTCGGTGTTTTCGCTTCTCTTATAACCTCTCCCCGACCCTCAGTACCCGTCGCACCACGACTTCCCCTCCACGTTCACGTTACCCCCCACCCTCGCAATCCTGGAGTAACTTCGTGCTCTGCAGAATCATTGCCAGCTCTCTGCCAGCCAAAAATGGATTAAACTGAGAATAATATGGGAAAAACCAACATGGTTTTGAGCATTTCGGCCTTGCATAGGGCGACATGCCAGAAAAATAATATCTACTCTATCACCCCTTTGAGGGGGCCGAGGTTTAAAAATGACAGCAGAATAAAGATTACACGAACCGACTTGAACCTCCTCCTACCATGAACTACCAATAGCACCCTCAGTAAAGTCGGTAATTCTAAAAAATGCGTTTGTTTTAATCTCTCATACTTTTCTTCAAATTTTCACAAAAGATTGTTTTATAACGAGCCAACATATTCATAAGCCGATCGTACAAGGCCCGTGGGTCGACGATTGAGAAATACTGTTACTGTTTAGAGTATCCATTGATATTAGATATCGACTCTCATTTGGGTTAGGTTTTTCAAATATTAATTAATAAATAAGTAAATAAATAAATATCTTTGTTGGTGGCAAGATTCAGACCGAGCCTGCTCTTCCACCGATCTATTACTGTGCCCGACCAATATAGGTAAGTCGTAAATTTTCATATTTTGAACAATATGATTTTGGTCATAAAATGTATATAATTGCAACGTATTTCTCGAAATTAGGACAGCGTTTTTGCCACATCGTGTCTTAACGTATTGTTATTAACCAGTTCTTCGGCAGCCTCTATTTTCGGCATTGCATCTATTTTGCCTTGGGAAGCGAAGATTATTTTATCATTCACCTTAATGAGTTACTTCGTTCATTGAATAACATTTACATATTGCCAACTCCTCGACATCGCGGTCAATATTTTTGAAAGGCATAATATTTCCTATTATTAGCAGTGTATCGATCGACTGAATCTAAATGTGTCATAACTGGCTGAGAAAACGCCTGTGCTAAAATATGTTGGTTAGTCATGCTACATAAAATACACATTTAACTGCTAATATTACTTTTATCGCCGCCTGACTGACGTTGAAAAGACGAACTCTGTTTTTTAAAGTAATGCTCTTATACGGCGACTTTTCTCGTTCATCGCTTTCATGATGTCGGAGCTACGAGCATGAGGTGTGACAATGTGGCTCCAGAATTCCATTGAAACTCATCCTACGACCGGATTCTCGTGTCATTGCAACTTTTCTTTGCTAACTTGATACTGAACGTAACTTTGACTGAAACTGACTGAATCATGGAACTGACGTTATTTTAGTACTTGTTTTATTTAGTCCGAAATTGCATGTTTTGGCAAACTGCACTGCGTGTCAAATTCATCGAAATACTCGGAACGGATGTGTGCCCTGTAAGATACGAGAGAGAAAGAACGCAGTGATCGATCCCTTCTATACTTCGGTTTTTATAACGTGGCGCGTGAGGGCCCATCTTTGTTATGGAATATGTCACGGCATTTCGCGTCTTTCTTGGTCGTGCCGCTATATATCGCATGATTTGCGAACGTATCAAGCAGTGATTGTATTTACTTTTTTATTTTTATGCTAATTTAATTTTGTGTGAATAATATTTAAAATATAAAATAGGATTTGTTTAAATAGCATGTACAAACTTAATTATACTATAATAAAAGCTCTCTCTTTTATTCGCCCTCAGTTCTAATTCAAAGTGTAAAATAAGTTTATAAGTGGATTAACTGGAGTTTTTAGGCTACATATCATTTTGCAAAAATTTGATACTTTTATTTCATATTTTTGTACTTTTTGGTGTTTTACTGCACATTTTAAAGAGTTTTACTGCACGAAAAGCCGGTCTTTACTCATCACTCAATTGAGGAGCAGAAACCTTTGCGCACTGGAGGTAAACGATAGACAAGGCTGAAACGGAAAAGTTGAACGCGTAATGTCCTGGAGGAAGAATAAGTGGATGAGGCCTCTCAAATGTTTAATATAATAGCGCGATTGACACAAAAGAAATTCCTAACTGGACTCACAGATAGGATGCCGTACACACCTCATACCACAAAGATCACAACTGAGGTGTTGCGTTGGCTTCACACATGTCTGGCTATGTCACTGTTTCAAGGATTTACATAAGAATTTTGATTGACAAGTTATCTTTTGATCTTTTGTAAAGTTCTTTTCAACGCCTCGTGCGGATTTTTTTTAAAAATATGTAATGTCTTCGACTTAAATTAAATATATAATTTCTTTTCTTGTTTACAGGAGGCACCATTCTTTTTGACTGAGAAATCTGGAGAAGGATGTCCATTCAAAAATATCACGTGACTTCCATTCTGGTAAGTCGTTTAACATTTTACTCGTCCATGGGATTAGATAAAGCTATTTATTTTTGTAACGCAATCTTGTTTAATGTGGTGATTAGCAATTGGTCTCAGAGCATAACTCCATTCTACGAATTGATATTTCAGCCTTTTCAAGTGAAAGTGTGGAAAGTAACTGCGGAAATGTAAATAACAAATGTTCCAAAGGAAATAAAAATAGTTGTAATCATCTTGCCCTTGGAGGGATAGATGGTCGAAGACAGAGCGTATACCGACTCAACACCTTTGTCGTGAGTTCGGCTCCCATCCTTTAAATTGATGTTTGTTCTTGTTTTTACGTGTATTATATCGCCGAATGCTTCACGTAATCCTCTCCATGATTAGAGAAGCCCGCAATATATTAAAGTAATCAGCATGTATCGGTTTTTAATGCAATTTGGTTGGCAACTCATATCACTATATATTCCACATGCAACATCATTACATCAATATTAATTCATATCTCTCATCATTCACCCGCCATTAATACTCCTACCATCGCCAATCTATTGAATGGCAGATGACATTCCACCACTGCCATTACATACATGGAAGCAGAGCCGATTCCAAGGTGCAACCCGCACACATGCCCCACCATCTTTTTTTATTTATTTCTGTTACGTTTGTCGTAACAACGTTTACGAAAACCCATGACCGTCAACAACAACCCATGATGCCGAACGGAACCCTGGAATAATACTCTTTTAACTTAGTCAGTCATTGTTAGTCGTATTCAGTTAGCTTTTTATCCCTTCGGCCAGGACCCCGGAGCCGTTAGATACTATGGTTACCAGACGGCCACCCATCCAGAAACCCGCGATGTCTCGAGTTACTTCACCTCCGTGCCTTCTCAGAGCGTTGTTGAGCAATTCGGCTAGCGACGCGACCTGGTTGAGACCACCATCATCACCACGAAATTGGCTTTGCAGGAGCAAAGAAGGTAGCGACACCTTGTTTTCTTTCCCTCTAACCCTTCGTTATGCTCACGGCCTTCACTGCCCCCGCCTCCGGCCGCGCCGCGGGGGGGGGGGCGGCGATTTACAATGCAAATACGATCGAGCGCGCGCCGCGGGGCGACTTGCGAATTGGGTCAGGGGGGACGGAAGGCCCCCTTCGACTCTCGGAGTAAGCGCGCAACTGCTCCAATTGGCACGTGACCCCTGGCCGGGCCGGGGCGAGATAGTAATTCTGCCTCGCTGGGGATTTCTGCGCTTCCCCCCCCCTCCCCTCCTCGTGCACGAAGTGGCCGTAAAGTTGTATTGCTGCGGGTTCTATCTGTTGCGCGCCTTCCGAGCAGCTCTAGCATGATCTGACGATTACAACGCAGGTGCAGCGGTTTCTATTCCTCGGCTTTACTGTAAGAGCATAGTTCCTGAAATCCGAAATGTCAGAGTGCGATGGCTGAGTACTCTGCAAAGCAGACTGTGGTCTAGTGGTGTCAAGATCGCTTGTGACTAGAGACCGAGGTCCTATTCATGGTCGTTCTATTTCATGGGGAATTTGAGGTAAAGAGGGTCTATTGCAGGTTTTCTCACAGTTCTGCTGTTTTCCCTGCCGCTCATTTCACTTTTGATCCACTTCATTCATCATAATTTCATCAAGACAATCGAATTTGGATGTCAGTAGATACTCAGGATTAGGAAATATTGAATATGAATTTGAGAGACATTGTGATAGACAATATTGTAATTAGTCATAAGAAATGTGCAAATATGAGATTCTGTATTTTCATCCCAGACTTGTCATCCAAGAGCCTGGACATTTGTCCTTCATAATTGCGACAGACCGTCTCGGAAAAGTTACCGTTGGATAATTATAAGTGTAGGCAGCATGGGGTGATTTTAGATATGGATGGTACATTTGGTTTTGAAGATCTTCCGCGAATCTGTTTCGTTTGCAAGTTTAACGAGAGGCGCATAGCGAGAGCTTTCATCTCTACATTTTGGATGTTTCCATTGTTTATTATAATTGATAAAGTCTGACTGGTCTTTATTTCCAGAGTTCAAAGAACGAATGACCTGGCTTATTGCAAGCCTTTGTAAAATTTTCCTAAGTATTATTTGCTGATCATGATCAGCATGGAGAAAAATGGCTTCCAAAAAATCTGTAAATGCTGCATACATAATATAAAAAATAACCCAAATGCACGACTCTAAAATACCTCTAGTCCTCCTGCATATATCCAGATTAATGTTTTCTCTTGCACAAACGTCAATAGCATTTATCAAACCATTATGTTTTATTACCCCGGTTTGAGGAATTCCGCCCCAAATTGACTGCAAATCTGCATATCGCTTCTCGAAGCGAGTCTTGCCATAACAGTGTGAACGGGAATTGCAAGAGTGGAGTAACGTCAGGCGAAGCGGAGACGGGCGAAGAGACGCGAGGGGTTAACTGCGCCTGGCGCAATCTTCAAAACAAACCGTGCACTGCATTTTCTCATTTGTTACGTGATTCTCCCAAGTGAAAGAGGCTCATTCTACATGCAAACTGTGTACCACTAAACAAACCGTGATTTTATAAAAGAGCTTTGAATGGACGAATGGACAATATCTGTCCAAAAACATGATTGTTGAGTTCGTTCTTTATTATTGTAAATTCGCGTGTGAAATTTAAATTGAATCACAACAAATTTGCATTTAATCCATGGAAAATGAGTGGAAATTGAAGAGGTCAGGCAAAATTGTAGACCCCTCCTTTTTTTGTAAGCCAAAATAAAACTATTTTGCCCAACTCCAGATATTTGCCAGTCTGTACGTGTCTACACATCTTGCTTCTTTCCCTTCACATATTGTAGTTCAATGAACGCGTTTATATAACAATTAAATCATGTTTGTTTTGAGAAGAAATTCTAAGGTATTTATTTGGAAGGTGTGAAATGAGAATTATCATTATCCTTTTAATTTATTTTTCGCTGCCGCTCCAGTGACTGAACAGTATGTTCTAGGGATTGAGTCCCGTCAGTGGCGAAGTTTTGACCGTAGCTATACAGCTGGGTCGAATTCAGCCGCTGTCTGGAGGAGAATTCTAGCGGCCGGCTACTTTGAACTTAAGCTTTCTTTATTATTTTTATTCTCGTACCAGTCGCATGCCGGAGCAGTAGCCTAATGGTCACTGACCGCTCGCAAACTTCCCTTCATCATCCGTCTCTTCTCATCCCCTTACACACACACACACACACACACACAAACTACATCACCACACATGTTCGCTGGGAGCATAGTGCTTGTCCTGGCTGAGACAGTGCACCACTAGGGAGGAGATACCTGAAGGGGAAACCCTGCAAGCCTACGTGTACGACGGCACCGAATCTCAAGTTCTAGTGAGAAAGGAAAACCGCCACCTCTTGACTTAAATATGCACTACACTCACGAGTCAATTACGGACCCTAGTTGACGCACCCGGAAAAACGAAACACTCACTCACCCACTTAATTTATCTCAATACTCATTCAGTTTAATTTCAAATACGTTGCCGTACCCGTAACAATCTGAAGGGGAACACTAACAACAAATACCAAATGACGAGGGAATTTGTCCGGCGCACCAACGCAGCACCAGTTGGTGCATGCAGCGCGGCACGCGATGACCAATGGTCGCGGGGGGGGGCAATGTCGCGCAGGTCACGCCCCCTGGCGGCGGCGGCGGCGGCGGCGGGCGACCTTCCGGAGGTCGGCTGAGAGCGTTCCATCTTTGATGAGGACGCCGGCGGCGGCGACGCTGGATTGATCGCCGAGGACGTTTCGCCCGAGGGGGGATGAGGAGGACGTCAGCACGCGTAGCCGCCGCCTGTCCCCTCCCGGTCCCGCCCTCCGCAGTCCCCCCGCTGGCGCAGGGCCGGCGTGGAACGCTCCGCGCGAGTGTGATTGGAAGGCCCGCGCCGTTTTAAATTGGCCACTACTTTGTGGATGCAGGAGGAAGGCGGGCGAGTGGGAGGATGCGATTAATAAAGTGACCCGCGTGTGTTTCGTGAACTTTACAAGGACGAAAAAAGAAGAACGTATAATTTATTGCGCCAATAAGCTATGTTAAATTGCATGAAACTTTTTTTGTAAATGGCCATTTTCAATGAAAGTGGCGACGGGAGGACAAATACATACTTACAGGTCCTTTTAACATAAACATGGATGTAACATTTACTGTAACCGTGATGGTAAACGGGAAGGCAGTAACTCATCATCGTAACATATCGATGCAACAATTATTCATTAGTCGACACAGAAATTGTCTACTTAATCAAAAGGCAATAAGTCAAATGAACACGATTATGTTATAAGATGACAATTATCGAGACGGAAAATGACAAGTGCATTTGCTTTTGTCGAAAGGTCTACAACCGAAGCACGATAGTGTTTTTTCTCACATCACGTTAACATAACCGCGAAAGGTTGGAGTTCGCGAGCTTTCACGGTTTGCTTCATGTTTATGTTTATGATTACGCCCATGGTTCGCAAGGGGTCTATCGAGTAGCTTGGCATCAAGGATTCGCAGTCAACTTACGTTTACGCGCCATTACGAATGAGTCTTAAACAGCATTTACTGCCAGGAAGCAATCAAGGAAAATTCCAACGTAGTGTGTTTTGTCGAAGTGGGTGGATTACTAAAGCTCCTAATTCCTCATGTGTTGGTCAGTTTGTATGGATTATTCGGTTAGAAGTTGACAGGAGTGCGCGCCAGAAAATGTCATATTCAATTTCTTTGAAATAAGTGAATTCCACGTATTTCCAATATTGAAAATTAATTGATTGGTATATTGTTATTCAAAGTAGTAAGTTTACTAATTCTAAAATTATCAAAAAATGTTTTCAGTTTTCAATGACAAGCGATTATATCCAAAATATTTTAGTACCAAATTTAAAATTGTTCATGTTAATAAATTTATTATGTAAATGGAACCATTAAACATTCTTTTGTAGAATATATGGTAATAGGGAAACGTAATATACATTTAAGCACGGAATATACATTTAAGCACGGTACATCAACTGTTGTCCATCGATCATTAACCTATTGATTTCTTTTGTTGAGAAATGTTACATAAAGATATAAATAAATTCTGAAGGTCAGTAAGAAGTTCGAGAAAATGAGTAATTAACGCAAACTTTTTCAAGGAAATCGAACATCGATTGTATTTTCTCTATCTTGATCAGGCACGTTGTTTTGATCTTCGGCTCGGAGGATAACGTAAATATATTCCCAATTTTCTTGGAGTTGTAAATTTCAATCTAAACTTATAAGTTACGAAAAGATATACATATTTTACACGGGCGTAGGCAAAATTTTCACCGGGGAGGGGAGACAAAAGAAAAAGAAGAATAATGTTTTGAAATATACAGGAAGCATAAAAAATTAAGCTTTTATCAAATACTACAATCACTAAATAACAATAACTTGTAAATTTAATTTATATATTGGTAAATAATTAAAGATTAATAGAATGAAAATTAACTCTTTCTTACAGTCATCTTATTACTACTACGATTAGCATGAAATCAACAACAAAAAATCTCTAATATATTAAAATGGAAAACATTAGTATACAAAGAATAAAAAAGGCGTACTGTACTTGTTATATTTTATAATATTACATATTTACAAACAATTTACAAACAAAAAGTTTTATCGAATGTAATATTGAAGATACAATTTTTAATCAAAGGTTTTCTGAAAATATCTACTAAGTATTTACTTTTTATATCATTCCTCCTTTTCTGATTTAAGTATCATAAAGAAACATACCTCATTGAGGCATTCACTAGTCATTGTTAATCTTCATAAAGTTTTCATCATTCATGAAGTGGTGAATGCCGCTCTACACTATAAGGGATGCACAAATGAGCAAGAGGAATAGGGAGAAAAATTGATTTATAAAATACGTTACGTAGCGAGCCTCCGTAAATAAATCGCGAAGAATGGTACCAGTAGAATTGATTCTGGTTACAAAATCGAAAAGACAAAACATGTGGATTGGTTAATACAAACCAAAAGAATATCCAGTGGTTGGAGTGAACGACGTTCGAAGATTGTTTCTCTGTCTCCTTAGTGATTCAATCTAATACCTTCTGTAATATCTTGACAACTTCAATTTTTACAAATCGAATTTCTTTATATACCGAATTTTATTTATTATTATTGATAATCATTATGCATATGTAATCATTTGGTACATCGAGCTCTATTATGTTGAAATATTTGATAACTTGATTTTCTTTTGATTTCCTTCGGATTCGAAATACAAAATTTCAATGTACTGTCATTTTCAACACTCCCTTCTACTGTTGAAAAAAGGTACAGTCAAAAGTGACTTCCTAACACATTTTCACTCCGCATTAAAATCTGCCTTGGCGATACAGCATCCCTGATCGAGTCGCTCGGAAGTGTTCGGAGAGTGCAAATACACACAGGGAGCTCGGCCATTTGTCCGCACGACAGTTGTCAAACAAACTCCGCCGTACTCCAGTTCGCCCACACAGGTCGTTCATTCAGAATCCCAAGTCTCCCGCGTCCGTCAATCTCACGGGCTCCCCATTCAACAGAGGCTCAGAAGCAACGTTCGAACAATCACCTGAAGCGACGAAAGTAAAAATGTTTCGTCACCAAAATGAGAACTGCAATACAGGTCTATTGATAGTTGGTAATAGAGATAGTTTCTTATATACATGGATATTCAGGGGCGTCCAGAAGGGGGGGGCAGCTAGGGTAAATTTCTCCCAACTGGCTCCCGACTTAATTGGGACCCCGATTTCTTTCATTCAATAGAAATTTAAAAATGCAATATCTCTAATCCAAATCCAACGCTATAAGTTACTTCTGATGCATGGAGAAATGAATTATGTTTTTGAATTGGGGAGGAGAAACTTTTTGTTTGGAAAGAGGGGCCCCCAGAGACCAACTGCCCCAGGCCCCTGGTTTTCTCTAAGCGCCCCCGCTGATACTGTATGTATAAACACCATTATTACTGGAAATAACACCATTTGGGGGAATAATTAATCATTTAACTAAATTATTTTGGATGTCTCATTTACCTGATATTGTCGTCGATCTCTCCAACATTTGTTCAATTTAAAAACGACACACTCGAATATTCTTATTTACACTACATTCTTACTTTTTTAAAAGAAAGGTAGAAATGGAAATTACAACAAGTCCCACAACAAATGGTTCAAGTTTAAATAAGTATTCCCATCAATCATTGGAGCATATTGTCACGCAAATTAACGTCATATTTAACGTATTTAAAACTTAGTATTGCGTAGAAATACTAGATTTCAAGAAATCTACATACTGGGTGAACCTATTGATTCAATGTTGATGTCCGGGAGATATCAACGCGACGCACGAGAATTGAGTGCAAAGAGAGATATTATTCCACTCAATTTTTAGGTTTCAGTACCAACAACAATTTTCAAGAAGCACTAAGGCAAATTAAAAATGTACCGCCATTTAAGTTTCTTTGCGAACCGTGTTTCCATGATTATCTGTACATCACAGAACGAGATATGAACGCGTTTCATGACCAGATAGAAAATAAAAGATAATTTAAAAGAAACAAACGTTTATTTAGATAAACTAAGCAGTCCGAAGCTTATTATCAGCATTAAAACAATAAAATTGTAAGACATAATGCGAACAACAAATTTTCAGGCACGCCAAAAGATCTGTCATCTCTGTGAATTCTTGGTATGCATTCAAAACTCGTGATACACAAGAGATTCGTCTACAAAATAAATATTCCGAAGGAACGGTCATCGCTTTCACATTTTAGAAGAACTTTAAATACGCCAAACAATCCTTCTGAAATGAGAAACTTTGAAATATTTTGGTCTCTTCGATTTCTTGGCAATTGCTACATTCAATGACCTGCGGACATTCAGACAGGCATTACAGAATCACGTTCATATCAGGTATTACAGAAATGCAAAAGCAGACGTTCCTAAATATATTTCGCATCCTTCATTCCTAATCAGACTTTTAGACATGTTGAATGCCCCTCCATGAGGATGGATTAATAGAGTGCAGGAAACAGGATTTGGTTGTGGGCTTACCGAAACCAGTGAAGACAATTTCAACTGAAGAAGTAAGAGAACACCTCGAATGGTATGTTACCACGTTTATAAAAAAACTTTAAATTCCGCGAAACTCAGAAAAATCTTATACATAAGGTGCAAAATAGTTATCCACAGAAATCGGTCTCCGCTTCAATATTTCATCAGGATCATTCAATCAGGATATCCTCCAGGAAATAGTTTCCACTGAAAAAGGAAAGCAAACTCCGAAGGAGCTGTTACCGCATTATTCGATTTGCAAACCCAATTCTTTGAGAGAATTCTCCATTTAGAGTGCAAAATAGACGTTCCGAAAGTTCAGTCTCCGTTTCAGTACAAGAGTAAACCATTGCTCAAGAAAATCCTCCAAGAAACGAGAACGCAAAATAGAAGACCCGAAAGACGGGAATCCGCCTGAATACCACGACAGAGCCGCACGCAAGAAAATCCTCCAGGATGCGAGAGCGCGGCACGGGTCGCAATTCTTTGAGAGAGTGCTCCTCATAAAGTGCAAAATAAATGTTCCGGAGGATCGATCTCCGATTCCACACTAGAGCAGACCCCTACGCACGAAAACCCTCCAGGAAACGAGAGCGGAAAACAGATGTCCTGAAAGATCCGTCTCCGCTTCAATACCAGACCAGAC